TGCCAAGCCTGTGTGGGCACTATTATGTGGTAGGTTAACTTTTCATTTCAGGACCCAGTCTCAACACAGGGACAGACTGAACCTTGTTAAGTAACTACAAGGGTGGATCATTTCTTATACCAGTAACGTTGCTCCTTATCGAATCACAGGGGAAGGAGGTTATTCTTCTTATAAGAGGGAATCTTAGTTTTGGACTCCACAGAGAGCCCCAGGAATGTACCTTAACCCCAGAGCTGCCAAGTTTTCCAAAGTGCTATCCTGAAATTTTTGAGGTCTGCCTGGGTCAACCTGGAGAGGACACTATGGGGACGATGAAAGCAATGGAAGAAAGAAATGAATTCTTAGTGTGAGGGCGGTGATGGAAAAGGAGGACCAGCAGGTGGAAGTCCGGCACTGTGTCTGGCATATCATGGCTCCCTCTGTCTCTGTCTCTGTCTGTGTCTCTGTCTCTGTCTCTCTTCCGTCTCTGTCTCTCTCTCAATATGTGTGCGTGTAGGTCTGATTCTCATCAGAAAAAAATATATAATGTAATTATAATTTAATTCATCATTGAGTTTATTCCTGACAAGGGAGAATTACCAGTTTGTCAAGACATGAATGAAAACAGAAACCTCCACTTAGAAAATTTTGGAAACATTTTTCTGTTGAAATGTAACACCCCTACAGTAACATGTACAAATCCTTATGGTCAGCTTGATGTATTTCTAAAAATGAAATCCACCTGCCAGATCAACTTATAGATCATTACCCAGGATATCCACTGTTCTGACTTCTATCACCAAAGATCAGTGTTGTCTGGTTTTGAAATTTCTATAAATGCAATCCTAGAGTAGATATTCTTTGTGTCTGACTTTTCTCTCTCAACATCCTATCTATGAGTCATCTAGGTTTCGTGTAGCAGTTTATTCTTTATCGATTTCTATATAGTCTTCCATTTGTAAGTAATCATACTTTATTTATCCTTTCTACTCTGCCAGATGCCATAGGCCATGTTAACAGAGAAGTTAATTCACATGTCACTTTACCCTGTGCTCTGTACCCTTGTGTTATGACATCTAGTCGTCAGCATAGCTGACTTGTGGTTTCTGTGTAGCAAT